TAATTCTGTTTTGTTGGATAAAGTTCTAAGAAATAATTACTTAATAACAAATTAAAAGGAGAACAGAAACTAACACAAAAAAGAACTATTGAACAAACTGGATCCAATGCTTCTTGTAAGCCTCCTCCTTTTGTTCCAGTTTGTCAATGCCGTTTTTGATTGTTCAACAATTGATCGACTTGACATACCATGTGCAAAGGAATTCACAGAATCTACTTTACTCCGTTTAGAGGCAGATGCCGACGAGACTTTGAGTATCTTAATTTGTTCGCACTCCACGGAACGCCCCGTTGAAATTGAAGTCTTCGAAGAGTGTACGTCAGAAGGGTTTCAGTCATTGAAAGATTCATACTCTTCTAGGACGTGCAAAGGGAGTTCTTCTCTAAAGAAGGAAGTGACGAAAGGACAACATGCTTACTTAAATATCACTATTCCCGAAAACACGACTTACGAAGTGAGCATTCAGGTTGTGGAAATCAATGATAAGAACTTTTTCAAAAAGTACTTCAAGTACTTTGTAATAGCTGCCATAACGATTATATTGTGTTTATGGGCACTTCTTGTAGCAGTAATAGCATCGAGAAAACATAAAAAAGACTCAAAAAAGGAAGAGGTCTTGTTACACTAAAATATCGGGAAATTGGCGTATCATTTATTCATTTGCGTTTTAGTTGTTTTAATACATTTTATTAAATGTTTTAGGCTTCTCTTTTTATATCCACTTACTATAGTTCAAGTAATAATCTCAACAACGAAAGACTGAAAAAAATCAATGAGCTCGATTGAAAAGGAGTCGCCAAAACAAACCGAGTCAAAAAGCCCAAGAAATCTCCACTCAAGACACGAAACACCAATGCCAACAGGGGAATTCACTCCTTCAGAACAGGAACCGATTGAAAAGGTTATGAAAGACAAAAAAGGAAAATTGGCACGCTCACCTATTGCGTAATTGCTTGTTATAACTCCATGTTGTGTTCTTTCAGTTGTATCCAAATACTCAATAGACGTGTTTAATAACAAAAACTAAAACAAAATTATTCGTTATTATAACTTATTAATATTATTATTTAATCGGTCTCAAAATTAATGTTTTAAGTGTGGAAAAAAAATTGTTTTAACTGTTCAAATAACATTTTTAAATTGTTGTTTTTTAAAAAATATTGGTAAAATTATAGTAAAAATTGTTATTTATCAAGTATTAAGAAATAAAAATATTTTATAACAAATTAACTATTTTATTATTATATTTAACATACTATAAATAAAGTATTAAAATAATTAATTATTAATTTAAGTTGTATTAATTAAATATTAATAAAAACATAAAAAATAATTTTTTTTTGTTATTCAAAATAGTATTGAAAAAAAATAAAAAAATAAACTTAATTATTTGTTTAGTATATAATTTATAATATATTGTAATATTTTTATTTTCATATTATTTAAAAATAGAACTGTTAAATTCAAATTTAGAAAGATTATTTGAATAATTTCATTATTTAAACTATTAAAACAACCATTGTAAAACCATAAAAAACTATAAAAAATTGAATACTTTGAACCTATTAAAAAACTAAGAAAAAAGGAAAAGTGAATAGAACTAGAAAAATATTAAGATTATGATAATTCCGTTTTTTTCCACATAACAACTTTATTCAATTAAAATGAGTCAAAGAAGAAGAAAAACAGAAAAGAATGTGTTGAGTTTCTTTTATATGATAATTTCAGCAAATAACGAGATTATATACCCAAACTAAGCCTTAAAAAACAGAAAGTACTCACAAAAACTCTGAAAATGCCACCAAAAAAATATTCATACGAGTGTTTTTACTTTATGCGTCTAATATCTTCCAACTAAAGAATTAAACTAAACAAAACTATCAATAGTTTACTTTACAAGTACCGAAAAACTAAAAGATATTAGAATAAAGTCATATTCAATCTCTCGTGTTTTAGTAGAATTATGAATGTTCCAAATAAAAAGGTGACTGAACTGTCAATACCAAATGTTGTTCTTGACTTTGATTCTTGGAGCCCTTAGTGCTTGTGATCACAGCAACTTCAAGTGCTGCTCATCTTACACCAAACAAGACGATTTTGCTTATGTCATGCACGTCCAGACTTGGCCCGGGTCTTTCTGCTCGGACAACTGCTGCATTCTCCCCACAAACAACGAATTCTTCGAGGAAGGTTTTTCGATCCACGGGTTTGTATTCTTATCGTTTTATTATTATAGAAATAACAGAATAGATATTGGCCACAATACGGAGCTTCAACATACCCATCATGCTGCTCTCAAGACTTCACTGATACTCAAGTCGAAAAGATGTTACTTGCCGATACCGAGTTGACCAAGGACGTTTCTAACTATTGGCCATCAATGAAGAAGTGCAGATTTGCGATGTACGAGTGGAGTAAACATGGTTCATGCGCTGCCAATGTCTACACTGGAGAAAATGGTCCATTGGATTACATCAGAGCCACCATTAACATTAGAAAGCAAGTCAACATCTGGGAAAAATTGAAAGAAAATGGCGTTGTTGCTGATGGATCGACTAAATATGACAGAGAATGGTTGAGAGATATCATCGAGAAGGTCTATGGAGCTCGTGGCTTCTTCTCTTGCTCTGGTGCATCCGTCTCCGAACTCAGAATGTGCACTAAGGTCACTTCCGCAAATAAGGCTAATCCGGAATTCTTCGACTGCCCATCAGACTTAGTGTCTCAGGGTGGATGCTCTGCATCTGTCTACTTCAAGAAATTCCCAACCATTACAACTAAAGGTCCATGCACTTATTAATTCACTTCTTTTATGAACATTTTATTGTATTATCCTTTATAATATATTTTACTATAATATTGTAAATAGTTAAATATTTGGTTTTATTAATACTATTTTTTTATTTGGTTAATTTTGATGGTTTAAATAATTATAAATTAACAATTTTTATTAATACAAAAATGATTTTTATAGTCGAATGGTTTAGAATTTCATAATTTGTTTTTTTATTATTTTCAAACAAACAACAATAAAATATATCGGAAAGAATAATTCTCATAAAAAAAACAATAAAATACAATTGTTTCCGATATAAATTTGATGTGTCAACACTTCCACAAAACACAAAAAATAAGAAACTATTAACATAAACAAAAGAAATATAATATTATAGTTTATATTTCATTATAAAATCTCGCACAACAAATTAATACTCTGGACTTCCCGAACTCACAAATAAAAAATTCGTATAAATCGCACTTTTTGTGACATAATCAAAAAATGGCAAAAAAAAACGTTCCAAAAATACTTCTAAAACTTCGATCATGACGAAGATTTAGAGGAGAAGATTACTCGAACGTCATAGTATTTTCCTCCGTCTTCGAACGAGTTGCCTGAGATGGATCCAATTATTATATAAACGGAAACTTTGATACCAAACCTTCCCCACAGATGTCTAGCGTCTTATTCACACACTTAGACTCTTTAGAATTGGAGTCTGAAAACAAACTCTACGCCCCAATATTTGATCAAGTCCGGAGTTATTTCTCCGCAACACCATTTGAAGGGTACTTCCCCAAAGAACTCCTTTCCAAAATATTTGCGATGAGTGAATCGACTTCGGAAGACGATCAACTTGTCAACGCACTGAAACCTTTAGTCAAAATAGCGTACAAGTACGCACTCTGTAAACCTTCTCAATTTCCCGTTGGTGGGTGTTGTTATTGTAAAGAGTCTGGGAATGCATACATTGGCTTCAATATGGAGTCTGAGAAACATTGGATAGGGTACTCCGTCCATGCAGAGCAGTGCACTTTTAATAACGCTTTGATACATGGAGAGAAGGTGATCGACTTGTTAGTCGTCAGTTATACCCCGTGTGGTCATTGCAGACAATTTATAAATCAGTTCGCCTTCAGCAAAACACTCAAAATATTCATCGTGACAATCAACAAAGCTTTCAACGTCCACGATCTGTTACCGTACGACTTCTCACCCGCAGACTTACCTGAAATCAACTTCCCAGACACCGACAATTTCTGTGTGAAGAAGATGGAAGGCGACAAAGTCGACGATTTGAAAATTGAACAAGTCATTAAAGCAGCTAAAAAGAGTCATTTGGACAATTTGGCCAATTACTGCGCGGTTGGACTCTTCGTGAAGGACAAAGCCTTCTTTGGTAACTTCTTGGAAAACTGCGCACATAACCCTTCATTCCACCCAATGAACGGCGCGATCAGTCAGTTGGTTTTGAATGGATTTGGCGTCCAAGACGTCGATGAAATCGTTGCAGTGCAATACGAAAATTCGCCGTTCTGGATGAAAGAAACTGTTCTTGGTGTAATAGGTGGGTACGGCGAACTCAAGAAGAGCGTCAAAATCACGTATGTTGTTGTTTGAACTAATTTACTCTCATTCACTTCGTGTTCTCTTTTACTAGTTAAATAAATTATATTTAACTATTAAGTCATATTATAAATTTAATAATGCCTACATATATAAATATACAAATTGACTTATAATTTAGTATCATATAGTTTATATGATTTATTAAATAGGATCTTAGTCAAAATATACACAATTCAGTCCAAAATAACGAAAAATACCTAAGATATGTGTAGAATCTCTTTAATTACTCACAACAACAGTAATAATTAACAAGAAATATATAAGAAGAAAAAACACAGAATTAGACATTTAGTGCAGTACTCTGCATAACAATTTCTCTATACTTTTTGATGAGATTTGCCATGTCGAGATTGGTGTACTGGAACTCGTCGATCAATTCTTCCAAGTACGAGTTAGATTCCGGAAACACTAACAGACTTTTTAAACGGGAAGCGACCCCAAGTAACAAAGTTGGGATATAATGGTTGTTTTCTAGTAAGGCTTTTCCGAGGAATAAGACGTGTTGTGGTGGGTGTAATTTGACGAAGTTCTCAGCGTTTTTCATCCCATCTGTTTCGTCGATTTCGTCTCTGAATTCCATTTTCAACACGTTTCCAAGTACCTCATTAGGTTTTTCACAGAATTTGTAGAGTGCTTCGAAGTTACAATCCCTCAGCAAGATCACAACACTTTTATTAATAAGCACTCGCAAAATTCGAAGTAACTCGACTCCTTCACCGACTCCACTCCCCTCTACGATTTCTTTTCGAGTGAACATCCAAACTAACTCCGGGATCTTCTCAAGTTCCTTTTCGTTCTCGATCATTTTCTTGATCAATGCAAGTGTATATTGCAATGCAACAGCACCCGAGTGGATCTCTTTGATAATTGGAATGCATTTCACAGCGTCTTTTATCTCTCCCTTCTCTAAACAGTCCATAAACATGACAACTGGAGAATCAACTATTTCAAAGAGACCGCTCCAGTTCGCTTTGTCACTCATATATGCAGCGTCAAGGATAATCTTCCGACTATTTTCTTTGTCGTTGATGTAATTAATTACAGTCTCGTACGTAGTAAACCCCACTTTTTTGTCATGATATTCCTCAGTCACTCGACTGGTCACTTTGGAAAGTTCGCCTTCAAACATCGCTTTGTCGTTCCCAAACTTCTCTTCAACCAACTTCACCCCATCGCCATTGGTTAACATCATCAGAACCATTTCTCC